GCAGTAAACATGGGTGTGCATATATCTGCTTGGATGTCAGTTTTGGTCTCTTCGGGGTATATTCCCTGTAGTGAAATTGCTGGGTCAAATGGTGTCTCTATTTGCAACTTTTTGAGAAAGTGCCATACCGCTTTCCACAGTGGTTGCACCATTTTACACTCCCACCAACAGTGAATAAGGGTTCCAGTTTCTCCACAACCTCGCCAGCATTTATTGCTTGCTGTTCTGTTAAATTTTGCTATTTTGACTGGGGTGAGATGGTATCTCATAATTGTTTTAATTTGCATCTCTCAGAGCGAGGGATTTTGAACATTTCTTCTTGTGCTTGTTAGCCATTTGAATGTCTTCTTCGGTGAAGTGCCTATTTTTCTATTGGATTATTTACCTTTATCTTGTTGTGGTGCTCAAGTATTTCCTAAATTCTGGATACAAGTCCCTTATCTGATATGTTATTACCAAATGCTTTTTCCCAGTCAGTGGCTTCCCCTTTTACCATGTTGGAGAAGTTTTTGCATGCGCATAGTGATTTGAGTCTTAGAAGATCCCATTCATCTACTTTATCTTCTCCTGGTTTTAGGTTACATTTTAAAATTTTATGCTATCATAGTACTGATCAAATTTAAACACCTATGATTCGTAATTGTCATATAATGACAAAGTAATCATCTTTATGGTAAAAATTTATTTCTTAACTGTTAAAACTAGAGAATAAAAACTGTCAGAATTAATGCTGGTAACGGTGGTTACAGTAAAAGTGTAATATATATGGTATTAAATAAGTATTCTTTCTTAGATAAGTAATTCCATTATAAGAGGAGCAACAGAAGAATTTTAGTATTCAATAATATAAAGCACAGAGTATAAAGACATTCATTCAGAAACATGAATTAACACTAAAATTTATTTTAAGATGGTCCATCAAAGGATAAAATAGATTTTTAAATTGTGATTTTGGAAAAAATAGTATGTTTGTTTCATAAAGCATATTAATGTTAGTTTAAAGTTATTTATAATCCAGGACTTAACCATTTCTCAGAGAATCATCAGGCCAAATTATTATGTTAGTGATAACCTGATTCTTTCTAGGGGAATTTGTAAAGATATTTACCTGTGATGCCATTTTTATATGTTGTTGTTATGTTGTTATGTGCCGTCGAGTCGCCTGCGACTCATAGCGACCCTATGTACAAGAGACCTAAACTCCACTCTGTCCTGTGCCAATCGCACTGTCTCTGACACTCCCATCCCAATTATCCCAGTCACTGAATCAATCCACCTCATAGAGGGCCTTCCTCTCCTGCGCTGTCCCTCCACCCTCCCAAGCATGATGTCCCTCTCTAAGGACCGGTCTTTCCTCACAACATGTCCAAATTATGTTAGACGGAGCCTCAGAATCCTTGCCTCCAAGGAGCCACCCGGTTTAACCCTTTCCAGGACAAATCTGTTTGTTTTCCTAGCAGTCCATGGTATTCTCAATACTCTTCTCCAGCACCACAGCTCAAAGGCATCAATTCTCCTTCTATCCTCCTTGGTCATTGTCCAACTCTCTGATGCATAACAAGTGATTGCGAAGACCATGGCCTGTATCAGACACACCTTAGTCTCCAGAGAGACACCATTGCTCTTCAGTACTTTGGAGAAGTCCATAACAAGCATTTTTATAGGTTCAATAATACAAATACAGCCTGTGGATTTTTTTCCTTTTATGAAGTTAGTAGCCACTCTGTTATATCCTAGGGATAAACTCAAAGTGTGTCCTATCTAAAAATACTTTATAAAATAGAATATTTATTGAAATTTAATTAGAGAAATGTTTATTATTGAGACTTTCCGTCATTGTTTGTACTGCGTATTTCCCCCCATTGACGAAAATTACTTTATAACATAGTTTCAAGATTAAGAGAAACTTTATAAAGATAAGATCTGTGAATCCTTAACACCACTCTATCCTGCTTTAATTGCAGAATTGTATCATCCCTTAGAGCACTCTTTCGTTCTGAACTTCGGTGAATTTCCTGAATACATTACCATACCCAATCTGTAGAAATCAGTAGAATTTCCAAATAAGAGAAAATACATTGTCTATTCTAAAAGCTATTCTGCAAGGAGAGGCTTGATGGTGTAGAGTTAAATATTCTGCTGCAAACCCATGGCTCTATCCCACTACTGGCTCTACAGAAGAAATCACTCAGCAATCTACTCCAGCAAATATTTCGGGGTAGGGAAACTTATTTTTGTACTCGAGCGTCACTTAGTATGGGTCACAAATGACTCAAAGGCACATAATAACATTCTTCTAGGTTCATTTCATAAGAATATGGATGAATAATGATTTGTTTATAAATATGTTAGTATTATTTTTCTTTTTTAAAATTTTTATTTTATTATTTTTGTGTGAGTGTACCGTCAAATCAGACCTGACTGGTACAGGAGGAGATTGTCCCTCCTCCCCCGGCAGAGCATCTGGTGGATTCGAACCGTGCGCCTCTGGGATTGTAGTTGCAGCTCCTTACCACTAGGCCACCAGAGCTCCCCTTATTTTTCTTTTTTTAAAAAAAGCTAATTTTGTTAATCCTTAGGGAGAATTCCTTCCGAAATTTCCTCGGGTATTCATTAGAATACATACATATGTATTCGTTCTAATGCGAAACTTATACTCGGACCAGGAGGCAGTCGTCAGAAGGGAGCAAGGGAACACTGCATGGTTCAAAATTGGGAAGGGTGTACGCCAGGGATGCATCCTCTCTCCATCCCTTTTCAACCTATATGCAGAACAGATTATCTGGGAGGCTGGGCTCTATGAGGAGAAATGTGGGGTCAAGATTGGTGGACGATTTTTCAACAATATGCATTATGCGGATGACACAAATCTGCTTGCTGAAACTGAAGAGGACCTGAAGCGCCTGCTGCAGAGTGTCAAGGACTGCAGCCTACAATATGGATTGAGGCTCAATGTCAAGA